GCGGCTCGCCCAGCCCGGCCTGGCAGCCGAGACCCGGAGGCACAGGCAGCCTGTGTGCCCAGCGCCCGTCCTGGGCCCCCACCCAGAAACCCACCTTCCAACTGACCCTGGGGCCCTGGCCAGCTACTCAGCTCAGCCTGTCCTGGGTTCATGCCGAGGGGGACGCCGAGCGGAACCCTGGCTTACCGGCCCGAGGGTCCACTCCGCTAGTCCTTCAGTCTAAGGCTTGCTCAGCACAAAGCAAGGGATAGCAGAGTCACTCGCCCGCCCGCCCAGCGCCCACCCACCTGCTGGCCTCACACAGCCAGTGCCCAGCCGGGCACCGCCGCCTTCCACCCGCGCCTCTCCCCGCCCCTTCTGGGGCGCCCCCTCACCCTGTCTGGGACACCATCTCGCGCAGCACCCGCACAGCGTCGTCATTTACACAGAAGCGGCTCCCCAACCCCGGCCACGGCCGCCCCCCAGGCCGCGACCCCGCTTCTCGTGGGTCGCCCCTGCAGCGGCCAGGCCCCGGGACAGGAGGGTGCCAGTCGGCCGAGCTGGGGCTGCCTGGCTGCCCCCAGCCCAGAGCCCGTGCGCAGGCAATAAATAAATAAATTAGACCCTGTGCGGGCGGCAGCCTCACAGGCCCGGGCAAGGTGACAGTGCGAACTGCGAGCTGGGGGTGGCCCCCCCACCCCGCGGTCGCCTCAGCCCGGCCTGCGCCCCGCGCGCAGCTCTGCGAGCAGGCCCGGCCACCCCCGCACGAGGGAGCCCGGGGGTCCCTGAGGTGCACGCCACGGGGCAGTCAGGCCTGTCCGAGCCTGGGCTGGCGGGGGCGGCCAGGTCCGCTGGGCACCAGCGGCTCGGCTTGGGGCTACCCTCTCCCTCACCGTCCAGGCCTGTGGCTCGGCCACTGTGCCAGGGCGCAGGACAGTGTCACATGATGTCAACGAAGAACTCGCAGGGGCTCCCCATGGCCTTCTGGAAGGACTGGCGGCTCCCCGTCAGCTCTGGCGGGACGGCGGCCAGC